ATAGATAGATAGATAGATAGATAGATAGATAGATAGATAGATAGATAATGATGCATGTACCTACATATATTATATGACATGGAGAAACAACACAGTCTAGTTTAGATGTATACATGTACATGATAAGAAAAACAAATCTTGGGTGTTTACCAGACAGATGGCCTAGGGAACAAAGCTGTTACAGAATCTGGAAGTCCTGCTAGAAATACTTCAAAACCTCCTCCCAGAGGGGAGCAACAGAAGCAGACCGTGAAGTGGGTGTGTGGGGTCTCTAAAATGCTTTGAGCTCTAAGCACATAGCGTTTATAAGCAGTATCCTGAATAACGAGAAATGAGCTTCCTATAAACTTCTCCGCTGTCCTCACCACTCTCTGTATGGACTTTCTATCTGAGGCACTGCTGCCACCCAGCCAAACAGTGATGCAGTTTGTTAAAATGCTCTCAATCGTGCCTCTGTAAAATGTGGCCAGGACAGAAGGAGAAAGATGTGCTGTCCTTATCCAATGCAGGAAATGCAGGCGCTGGTTTGCACGCTTCACTGAGGATGATGTGTGGAGAGACCAGTTCAGATGGTTAGTTATCTGCACCCACGGATACTTAATACCGCTGACCACCTCTACAGCTGCATCCTTGATACTGAGTGGAGTATCTTTCTACATTCTTCATGATTCATTTTTGGTCTCATTCCTGGCCTATCATGGAATTTCCCTGATAATACCTATAAATGGCTTCTTGGTAGTGGCCCCAAACCTATAGAACAACTTACCCCCAAGCTATTAAATTCATACAGGTGGTCTTCAAGTTACGATCGTCATAAGTCGTGATGCTTGTAAAGGGGATCAGTTACATGTCTGACCTGATTTTACGAGCATGAGAATGGGAACATCAACCTTAGGAATAAATAACCATAATAAACATAATTCTTCTGAGCCCACACTGCCGGTTGTCGCATCTGCCTCGCCTCATCAAAGTTGACATCAAAGTTCACAGCACCTAGAGCCAAGCAATTTGTTTTGGCACCTAAAGTGGAAAATTTCACAGGCCCAGCTCTGCCTCCTGACCTGTGAAAATGCAATGAAAAAAGATTGCATAAATAATACTGACTTCCATGGACATCCCTAATCAGCTACTGTCCCCCAAACCTTGGCAGCTATCAAGCTGAGTAAAAGTCAACTCAGGAATTTTGAGATTCTAGCTAGATGATGGCCATCAATGCTCAAGAAAGGCTTCCTTGCCCACAAAGCCACCCGAGTACCCTGATTTACGGTGTTACATATACACACGCAAGAAAGTGCATGCACTATATTTAATGGGTGTGTAGTATATAGATCTGTGTTCCTCAACTTTAGCAACTTTTAGACAGGTGGACTTCAACTCCCAGAATTCTCCAGCCAGCAGTGGCAGGTTTAAACTGCCTTGAGCAAAGGAAACTAATCAACTGCTTAATGGGTTTCACCCTAGCTCGCAATCAAAAGTTGTACAGGTAGTCTGTCACTTATGACCACAAGTGAGCCCAAAATTTCCGTTGCTAAGCAAGACAGTTATAAAATGAACTTGGCCCCATTTTACGATCTTTCTTGCCACCCCTGATTTAAACAGCCACGTATACCTGAATTGGAATACTTATTGGGGCGCACAATTACCCCCAAATTATAACACGTGTATCATAACAGGTCACTGCCATCTGCTTCCTAGCCAAAAGCTTGCTTTCCTTCTGGGTCAAAGGAAAAGCTCCTTAACAGAGGAAAATGTAATCTTTTCAGCTTCCTGAATCATGCTTTTTAATCAGGCGCTTCCAAGCTGATGACACCTGGCTCTTTACTATAATCAGGAGCTGTTTATAATCATGGCTGTCCGGAGAATTCTGGGAGTTGAAATCCACAGGTCTGAAAGCTGCCCAGGTTGGGACACCCTTGGCTTAAATAGACATGGGTGGTGTTCCTTTCCTGGTGCTCCACCCTGTAATATCACACATCTTTCTGCCTATGGTATTTCGTGGTCTGACTAGTTCCTTCTCATGTTTTGGCAAAAGGCTGCTTTTGGGGATTTTTTTGCCCAAGGCATGCAGAGCGTTGGATGGTTTACAGAGATGCCTTCAGAGTTGTGTCTTTCCCAGGTCCACTAGGCTGAGAAACTTCTAAAAGGCTTTCCAAAATTTGCCCATATTTCTTCGTGGGCTTGCAGAAAAGTTTCCGTTGAGGATCGTCCTTCAGGGCAGAGAAGGCACACAATAGATACAAACTCAAGGTTAACTGCACCAAACTTGACTGCAGAAATTACGACTTCAGCAACAGAGTGGTCAATGTTTGGAATAGTCTACCTCAGGGGTCTCCAAGCTTGGCCACTTTAAGCCTGGAGGACTTCAACTCCCAGAATTCCCCAGCCAGCAAAGCTGGCTGGGGAATTCTGGA